TATATACATATGATTTATAATTAAAAATTCTTTACTTTATCTCATAAAAATAAAAAAGAAACTTCTTTACTTAATGCTTTATTATTACTAAATAGTCATTCAATAAAAAATTATTTAAGTTTATATATGCTATATAAAATAATTACTTAAAATTTCATATACAAATTTAAAATGATAGTTGTTTTAGGATAAATAGTTTAATTGGTTTAATATCATTGTGATTTTGAATATTTAATTTTGATTTTTAAAATTTTAAAAATTTTAAAATAAAATTAAGTAATTTTATAAATTAATTAAATTTAAATTTTTAGTATTTATTTTTAAATTTTATACATAATAAAATAATAATTTTAATCTTTAATTATTAATTTTAATTATTTAAATTTTAAAAATTAAAACCAAAAATTCAAAGTTGCAATCATATTAAACTGAGCTATACTCTTCGGACCGTGTTCTTTTGCTGATGAGGCTTTCACGAGTCTCGAGGTTCTGTGGGGAAACCAAAACCTTTTACAGAACATTAGGTCTGGGTTTGGGGCAGAAAGGATCAGAAACCCAAATCATAATCTTAATTGTCATTTTTCTGCATTTGGCGAAACCATGTTGTGGGTAAAAAATCTCAATGACATCCTACCTGACTTTCCTATTTTTAGGTTAAACATTTTACAAAACAAAAGGATTTCATTTGCGTTTCATAATTTTAATAAAAGAATCATTTTACTTGTTAATTTGTTTCTTATTAATAACACAACTAATATGATATAATATTTTTATTTTTCTTTTACTGATTTAATACATGTGAACTTTTTTTTTGGAATATAGGGGGATTTTTGCCAGAGTGAGGAAAATTTAACAAATGTGATTATTGCAAACTTGAATCTTGACTAGGTTTTGGGTGCACTTTTGTCAACTCACATGGAACTACAAGTGCAACGTATGAACTTTGTGTTAGTTATTAACATGCATGTGAACTTAATTGGTTAATGATTTAGATAGTTTAATAATAATTTTGTTTTGATAGAGTAAAATGTTTTGAAATTAGGTTGCATAGCATGCATGCATGCGATTATATATGGTAGGTAAAAAGATGAAAAAAAATTATTTTTTATTATAAAATCCAAAATTAAACAAAAAATGCATGTGAATTGTGATTCTGTTTGGAATTGGTGTGTAGTGGAGAGCTAATTCAATATAATTCTATCCTTAGTCATGAATGTATATTTATAATCATTACAAGTCAAATAGCTAGAGTTTGTTCTTTTCTTTGCTTAAAGATCTCAAAACAAAGATTATATATGTTCTTCAACTTAAGCATATTGACTTATAATTACACTCCAATCTCATTCCAAGTGTAAAATAATTTTGCTTCGAAGTGAAAATTAAATAACGCTTATAATTAGAATTAAGTTACCATTCCAGCAAAGCAATGGTACCATAGTTCTGGTAGACCACATGGATAAAAAAATAGAACCAAGACCAAATTGCAATAGAACTATTATCAAATTATATCATGAATAATAGTACATATTATAAACTGTGTAGTGGGTGGCAGGTGAACAAAGAGCAACAGTATTATACCATATGAATAACATCTGGTAACATGTGAATAGTGGGTGGCAGGTGATCAGTGTAAAAGGAAGAGAGACTTTGTGTGTGTGTGTGTGTGTGTGAACGTGATGGTTGGAAATGTATAAGCTTTTATAACATTAGTCGTCTGTAATACAAAAGGAGGCAATGGATGGTAATTTAAAAATAACAAAAGATCAAAAGTGAGCACGAGAATAACTTTTAATTATCATTTTTATATTTTAATTGTACTCAAACGTCTTAATTGCTTCAATAACACAACAAAAAGACTTAATGTATTCCCGCAATCCTATTGCTTAAGTAGTCATTAAAGATCTCCACTCCCCTAGGGGGTCCCTTGATTGCCCATGGAGGATCCATATCAGTATTCAGTGTATGTAGTAGGTGAAGAACGTATACCCACCCAAATAAACCATACTTCCTCGTAGCAACAACATTAGTAGTTGGGAATAGAAGTTCTATAAAGATATATATACCTGTTTGTTAGCGTTCCTTTTGCTACGCAAAATGCTGCTAATGACATGTCTGCAGCTAAATATGATTTTCTTTTTGTTTTCATTCATTATTAATTCTTGTAGTAGGTTGTGCCAGAAGTGGTTAAGGCTAGGCACCAAAAGTATTAAATTAAACCAATACAAACTTTAATTGTTTTTCTGCAAACAGTCACACTATTTAAAAATATTAGTTTCTAGGACTTATTTTAATTTGTTATATAATAAAATATTAAATATTTTATTATTTAATGAATAATAATTATAATTATTAATTATTTTTATGAATCAAATTAACAAAATTAATATTTTAAATAAAAAATATTTTATAAGATAAATTGTATATATATTAAAAATATAGTTTACTCTATAAACTTATTAAAATATTTTTAATAAAATTAATTTTATATTATTTTTTAAAAATATTTTAATAAATTTAAAAAATAAATTATATTTTTAATATGTAGTCTAAATTACAAAATATAAATTTATATTTTAAAAAATAATATTTAAAAATTTATGCATGACTTAACAAATTTTGTTGTGGCCATTATCATGCCCACAACCTCATAAAAAAAAAAAAAATCTTGTACGATGTGCCCCTCTCGCCACCATTAAATGGGCCTTTTATTAGCCTTCACCAAATGGGCTTGAAAACCCAAAAAAACTAAGCGAATACATCATCTATGTTGTTGTACCCGGCCTGTTGGACCAATTGACTTAAAGCCTTGTTGAGAGTACATTCTTGGCCTGTGGTGCTTGGTGTTCTGATAATTTTAATGTTCAGACAGCAAATATAACGAGCAGTTCGAGTTGAAAAACATAAAAACTCTTTTTAAAATTACGATTTGTCTATCCAAGCAAGTCTATACGATTCACAAAACCAAAAATGA